GGGTAATTAGAAGAATTGGACTGTATTCATCGCTATTTCGAACAAAATATGAAGATTGTTCATCGATGTCAACGTATATTGACAACATAACGAACATCTCGGAACAACTCGAAAGTATCGGAAAGCCACTAGATTGTGAAACTGTTGGTGGAATAATACTTGGAGGACTACCAGAAAAGTTCAGACCACTCATTCTAGGCGCAAATCAAGCCATTACAGTTGATTTTGTCAAAAATTTGCTATTACAAGAAAATGTGAAAGATTTGCGTTCTACATCGACAAATTATTCTGAAAGTGCATTTTATGGAAAATCCCGGAAATTTGCTCATAAACCGAAGAATAAAGCCACTAAAAAAACCAAGATGCTACAATTGCAATGAATATGGACATTATAGTCATTCCTGTCCAAAACCAAAGAAACAGAACACACGAAAGAAAGTTGAAAAGAGAGAAAATACAGCTGGCTTTTTCACATCTGTAGAATCCAACTCTACAGATAACCAGCCTGCAGACTGGTATCTGGATTCTGGTTGTAATGCTCATATGACACCGAGAGGGGACTGGATACAAAATTTAAAACCTGGTGGAAACAGGAAAATTGACATAGCCAATGGCAACGTGGTTCCAGCAATAGGTATTGGAACAGTGGATATTACATTAAAAATCAGTACTATCACAGCTAGTGATGTTATACATGCTCCGGAACTCACCACTAACCTGCTCTCCATTTCTCAAATCGCCAAAAAGGGTAAGTCAATAATTTTTGACTCTGAAGGATGTAAGATATTGGATTCCAAAATTATAATTCCAAATAAAAATGTAGTTGCTACTGCATCAGAAAATAATGGACTGTATGTGTTAGACACTGCTAAATTTTCTGCATCAACTGCCATACTAAACTCTCAAAACATCTGGCACCGTAGACTTGCTCACTTAAATAGAAGAGATATGAACATTTTAATTAATAAAATGTCCACTGGAATAATAAATCTGACTAATAAATCTGACACCTGTATTACATGCATCAAAGGAAAACTTTCAAGAACACCTTTTCCTAAAGAATCTAAAACCAAAACTAACTGCATTCTAGAACTTGTGCATTCAGATCTGTGTGGCCCAATGCAAACATTGTCTATTGGAGGAGAGCGTTATTTTCTAACATTTACCGATGATTTTTCAAGAAAATCTTTTGTTTATTTCCTCAAAAGTAAAGATCAAGTAAAAGAAACTTTTGTGAACTTTAAAGCTCTTGTTGGGACTCAAACCAACAGGAAAATAAAAACCTTAAGATCTGACAATGGAGGTGAATATGTCAACACTGATCTTAAGAACTGCCTAAATCTTTGTGGCATCAGACATCAAACAAATGTGGCAAGATCTCCAGAACAAAATGGGACGTCAGAATGCTTGAACAGAACTTTAGTTGAGAAAGCTCGTACTATGCTAATTGATTCAGGACTCTCAACTGAACTATGGGCTGAAGCTGTTTACATAGCCAACTACTTAAGAATAGATCACCCACAAAAGCATTGAAAAACATGACACCTGAAGAGGCCTGGTCAGGAAAGAAACCAAACCTCTCCCACCTAAAAGTCTTTGGATGCAAAGTCATGGTACATATCCCTGATGTGAACAGAAAAAAGTTTGATCCAAAAGCCAAAGAAGGCATCTTTGTTGGATACAGTGAAGAAACAAAAGGATACCGTATTTTTAATCCTACAAAGAAAGTTTTCATTAGTCGAGATGTTATATTCCTTGAAAATGACTTTTTAAATAAAGCAGATGACTCAACGTCAACAGAATCCCAAACTGCAGATATGACTGAAATCGAAAACATTTCCACTGCAACCACAACAGAGGAACCAGACACCACAGACCACTCTTCAGACAGTGAAGATGGAGATCCCTATAATCAAGACACAGATAGATACCCGAAGAGAGCTACGGCACCTAATAGAAAAATCTTTAACGATGACTTCATTGTGTATCAAGCAAATCTCTGTAGAGCTCAGGATCCAGAAACTTACGAAGATGCTATGCAATATGATGAAGCTCAGAAATGGAAAGCTGCCCTGGAAGAAGAGATCGAAGCTCACAAACTAAATGGTACATGGGAATTTTGTGATTTTCCACCTGGTAGAAAAGCCATTAAGAGTAGATGGACATTCAAAACAAAATTCAAACCAAATGGCGAAACAGAAAGACATAAGGTACGCCTAGTAGCTAAAGGATGCTCTCAAAAATATGGAATAGACTATGAGGAAACCTTCTCACCTACAGTCAGAAACAGTTCTATCCGTTTTCTCATTGCTCAAGCAGCCAACTTGGATCTGGATTTAGATCAAATGGATGTTGTAGCAGCATTCCTACACCCAAAACTGGAAGAAGAAATTTACATGGAACTCCCTGACCTCCCTGAATATTTTCCTCACAGATACTGTAAACTGAACAAATCCATATATGGATAAAACAAGCAAGTAGAACTTGGTACATGGAACTAGCTGAAACCTTCAAAGACATAGGACTTTTCAGATCGAAAACTGATCCTTGCATCTTTGTTTCAAACAAGAAAGAAAAAACTTTAATAGTTGCCGTCTATGTAGACGACTTGCTGATTCTGTCGAATGATCGTAAGCAAAAAGAGAACCTCAAGGGGAAGTTAAAACAACACTTTAAAATGAAAGATCTCGGAGAAGCCAACCACATTCTTGGAATGACCATCACAAGAGACCGTACAGAAGGAATCATCAGTTTAGACCAAAGCACCTATATCAGAAACATGCTCAAAAGATTTAACATGCAAGATTGCAAAGAAACAGCAACACCTTTCCCAACTGATCAAGTACTATCCAAAGAAATGTCTCCGAAGGACGAAAAAGAAAGGCAAGAGATAGGACAGATACCATATAGAGAAGCAGTCGGAAGCCTAATATATGCAGCTCAAGGAACACGTCCAGACATTGCATTTGCAGTGGGGGTAGTTAGTAGATATGCCAACAACCCAGGAAAACCTCATTGGATGGCTGTCAAAAGAATTTTTAGATACCTAAAAGGTACATTATCGAAAAGGCTAACTTTCCGGAAAAATGGACAACTACAAGGTTACACTGACTCGGACTGGGCCAACGACAAAGATGACAGAAAATCAACCACAGGTTTTGTCTTCTGCGAATCAAGTTGTGCCATAATTTGGAACTCCAATAAGCAACAAACAGTCGCCTTATCAACAGCAGAGGCTGAATACATGGCAATTTCTGCAGCATCACAAGAATTACTGTGGATTAAACAACTCAAAGAGGAACTGTTCAACCAAAAGATGGATGCAATAAAATTACACTGTGACAATCAAAGTGCTATAAAGATCAGTACCAACCCCATTCTATCATCTAGAGTGAAGCACATAGACATTCGTCACCATTTCATAAGAGAAAAAGTCGAACTTGGACTGATCCAGTTGTGTTACATTGATTCGAAATCAAATGCTGCTGATGTACTCACCAAACCGATGACTAGTGAACAACTTAAAAAATTCAGTATTGTATTGGGACTTTCGTGAAGTGGGGGTGTGAGAAATATCACACAATCCCAGTGTAACTTTCAGACACTGAATCTGGCAACGCCGAGACTCATCTGATCAGTCTGTTTACAAACACCGCGTCGTTCAGACGCTCACGTCATTCATTCGTAATTTCCATTTTATTCTTATTTACATCAATTAAATATTTTCAGTTGATACCTGTTTCCTACGTATCATTGCTCAAATTAAGCTCTCGCTAACATATAAGACCAATATTAAGAAATCTAAACATCACAATAATGGTCCCTCGGTGCATGTTAATATGACGGACAGATATAATAAACCTTAGAGCAGCTGTTCCCAAATGGTGCTTCGGGGAACCCTAGGGTTCTGTGGAATGCTTGAAAATGTAACTAGAGTTAGTACTTCTGTTAACCAGTGATGAGTTTTAAAACCCCTGATTGCATTTAGTAGATCCACCCTATAATTCCTATTTTCTTTAATTTTACGGTTTTTCTTATGAAATTATTTCTAGTAAAGTGTCAGTAAAAAAGAAATAGCATTTTTTGAAGGAAAATGTAATGTTTCTAATAACAGTGTATATACAAATCATAAAAATAAAAACAAGCATTTATAAAATGTTCCATTAGTATTTCCTCTGTCACGCTTTTCAAATCAAAATAACTCAATTCTTAAGATATTTTTCTTTAAGGAAATATTTTTCCATTAAAACCATTTTCAAAGTTTATAGCAGTTCTCTTAAGCTTTTATTTCGAAATATGCAATATCTCAGCTAATTTTAATCATTTTCTGCTTATGTATATACAGAAGAAACACATTCATAATTAGACTAGATTTGCACTAGGACTGCAAAAATTTCGCTGCCTGACATAAAACTTAATTTAAAATTGCTAATAATAAAACGATGAAAACTCTTCATTCCTCTAATTATATGTTTTAAATAAAGACATACAGGTTGTTACATTCACAATTACTTTAAATTTTATTTATAAAGTTAGGGTTTTTCAGAAAGAAGGTTGATTATTTAGGGTTCGGTAACGGAAAAAAATTGGGAACCTCTGTGTCAACTATCCAAATCTACTATACCTACTAACACTTTGAATTAAGTGTTGCAAGAGAGCACAAGGGTGTGCTTGGCTAAGAGGAAATTACAGAAAAGCATCGTGGTGACGTCAGAGCACTTAAGAGAGTCCGTGGCAGAAATATGCAGAAAAATACAGTTAAATATATATTCATAATTTATGTTAGTCTTATATACTGACAGAAATCCGGGTTTTCTTCGTTAATTAAGGAACCAAGGCATTAGATTTTTTAGCTAATTAGAATGTAACAATAAAAACAGCTTAAGACTATTATGTTCAGTTGTTATAAGGAAAAATTTTAAATTTCACTCTATGCATATTATATATGTATTAGAATTAAAAACAGTAAATGAGATTTAAAAAAGACTGATAAATCATATTTTAACAATTTAAATTCAAGTTTTAAATCTACTTACGATTTGTAACATTGTTAAATACTTTTTCCACCATAAATATTTTTGAACATGAGGACCAATGGCTGCCAATCCATAATATAGATACATCAACACATGAATCACGCAGTTAATGTTAGAGCCAAGAATGTAACTAAAATCTGAAAATTAAAAAATACTATATTGCAAATTCCATCCAAAATAATGACAGTAGTTACCATTACTATTATTTCGACCCACAGTTATTGCCTGTCTTGGAAAAAAAAGATTTATTTGCATGATACGTTAGAACGATACAAGTACGCTATAACGAATGATACAAGTACTAGTACACATGCGCAATAAAATGCTATATATTTTAACCAATAACACCTTTACTTCAAAGGAGGAGACCAAAGAATACCTGGATCAGATTTTCGCAAGCCAAGAACAGATATTTAAGTGCGCAAAAAAAATTTAAAATAAAATATAATAATATTATTATTAATAATATAATGTAATTATCAATATAATTATAATATAATTATACACCGAAGAGCCATTACATTATGACCACCCTGCTAATAACATGTAGGACCATCTTTAGCCCTCAAAACTGCTAGCACTAGCTGTGCCATTGATTCCACAAGGTGCTGATAGGTAGTCTGAGGTATCTGGTACCAAGCGCTCACCAACTGGTCCTGCAATTCCCTCACATTGCGCGTGGGTAACGTGGCAGCACGGATTTGGTTTTCCAAGTAGGACCACAAATGCTCTATTGGATTAAGGTCAGGTGAATTTGGGGGCCAAGACAGGACTTGAAAGTCACTGGAATGTTCCTCGACGATTCGACCCTTATGACATGATGCATTATCCTGTTGGTAAACACCATCCCCCGCAGGAAAAACTGTTGTCATGAATGGGTGAACCTGGTCTGCAACTATGTTCAAGCAGCTTACAGACGTCAGGGATTGTTCTACGAGGATTATAGGTCCTAATGTGCTCCATTGTTCCTGGGCGAGAAACCATGAAAACCTGGGCGAGCTCATTGTTATAGATGGAGGGTGGTCATAATATAATGGCTCTTCGGTGAATAATAATATAGTTATTAATATGATTAATATGAAATCATACTACTGCTAGACAAATGGCAAAATCTACTGGACAAAAATGGGTAATATATAATTCAATAAAATATTTACTATATCATGTAATTACTCACTTCATTAGGGAAAAAATTTCCGAACACCCCAATACCTTTTAATGATCCAAAACAATGCATTTTTGAAGCAGCATTTCAAATATCAAGAGCTACTGATGTCTTTTTTACGTTTTATTAAAAAGGAGAAAGCTATGCATTTTAATTATAACTATATTTAGTAGAATTTTCATATTCAGAACAGGAGGTGCTGAATAGAGGACAGAAACTTTACCAAACAACTCTCTGAAATAACCGTTAGGATTTTGCAACTATTAAAACAAGTATATACACTTTTTTTGCTGCATTTTATTACAGACCATTTAAACTAAAATATTTCACAAACCACTTCCTTTAATTTTGTAGTCAGAAAAGTTATTTTATAAACATTATTGTTTTGTACTTTTCTCAGTAAGAAGATACTTTTGCTGGCAAAATTTTTAAATATTTAATTAAATTTGATGAAAGAATATAATTTTCTCAAGAAGAAAGCAAAAAACAGTGTATTTCCTTTTTCTTCCATTTTTCACAGCATTGCCTATGTGATAAGCTGTTATATAATACGTGATATAATTATGATGCATGTTACATGATAGGCAAAATAAATTGATTCCCATATTTATTTCCATGGAAAATTATAACTCTTCGATTTTTTTCGATTTCGATTATTTGCAAAAAAATGGATACTCAAATTTCGCGAAGCTTTTTTCACTTTTGACGAAACCGTGTCCTGGTATATGCTCCGAGCAAACCTTTCGTCCAAGTGACAAATCATCATTTCTTCGAGGAAGCGAGTTTCTTCAATGGTAAAGAAATTTTTCGACATTTTATTACTCTCTCCAAAAAACAACTTGTAGTGCCTAATGTATCTAACTTTTCTGATAATTACTACATCGTGGGCATGCTCAACGATAAATGTCACGTTAACTACACAAGAAAGACAGATAGAACAGAGAGATAAATTTCACCGGATCAAGACCAATTCCTCGACTACCATACAACCCGGTCGGCTTTTTTCGTCACTTTGTTTTCAATCGTCTAGTCTTTATCCTAGTTTCGTTATTGTAGTGCTTTGAGGGAGATTACTAACTAGAACTCGTCATTCTAGTTAGTACTAACTTGAACTTCGTCATTCCAGTTAGTAATCTCCCACAAAGCACTACAATGAGATTTCGAGTTGAGGAAGCATTTTTGTCATATATTTGAGAGTTTCGTTACAAATAGCGCAATTTCGGGAGGAAATGATTCTCTGAATTGACGAAATATAGTTCAAGGATTGCTGATCCGTCAAAATTGAGAGTTTTATTTCAGAGAGTGAAATAACCTCATTATTTTTGAATGATTCTCATTACACCCAGTTAACACTACTTTTTATTTTCGCTTTAAGAAAAAATAAATATAAAAAATTCATCTTACTGGGTAATTCAAGTTGGAAGATATAAAATGGGAATATAACTATGCCGGTGTGGTGAATCAGATGTAGATGAGTAATTTGCGAATGTTTCTTTCTAAGGGCGAAAAATATCTGAAAAATAAATGCGTTTCAGTAAAGACATTCGATTATCAGAACAATTCATCTAAATGAAAAACGAAATTTTCGATTTGATTTGCAGCTTTTGTCAAAAAATATATGAGTTTTATTTTGGTATTATAGCGAATGACACAAAACCCATTCTCTGGGAATAACCCCAGTCAAAGGGGAAATAGGAATTAGGTGTGCATAAGTTAAGATTTTAAAAAATCAAATACGTGAATTTCCATTTTTTTTCTTTCTTGTTCTAACGTTTATTTCTCTAAGCGTCTCCATTTAAGTAAATTCAACCCCATTTTCCTTTAGCGATTACAGCGCCATCTGTAAACTGAAATGTAAAGACCTTCAAGTCAAATTTCTTAAAGATCCAAATCGGAAAGAAAAAATGGGTGTTCCCGGTTAAGTTGCCTCCTATCCCACCACCAGAAGTTGAGATTTGAGAAAGATCGAGTTCTAAACACAGAGTAAGTATATAAATATTTCAGATATGAAATATTTCATTTTTTAAGAAATATTTGCTAATTTTAAATCTGTCAATAAGAATGCGATTTAAATTGCGTGTTAATAAAATGTCTTATCATTTATTTAATATTTAAGCGTTCATCAGTATCACTGCACTTCTGTCTTTTACTTATGGAACTTATTTTGTCATTTACTTATATTCGTTATTATCTTATTTATTTCGTTATTTACTTATTTTCGTTGTTTTTAAAATTATGAAGCTTCAAACAGTATGAGGTTTCTACAGCATATAATTTCAAGCTTCCATTTTTACTGATGTAAACCTTCAATCACCCTAAATTTCTTGTATTTTTGTTTATTTAATTAAATTTTTTTATTTAATTATTTTTCCCCATAAATTGATCACTGTAAAAGAAAAATATCTTCTTTAAAAGTTTCGATAAATAATAGTTATAAAAAATTGCTAAAAAAAAGTGATATATGTAGAAAATATAATTTACTTACAGTATCAAACCATTCCATAAACTTCATTAAGGCGTTATACCAAATTATATTGAAGCCTTTCTGTTAAGAAAAAAATATTAAAAAGTTTATTATTGGTGGAAGTAAACCGGTTATATAGAAATATTAATAATAATTATAAAATAAAGTATTATAGAAACAAAGTTTAATCATTTATCAAAATTTTTTTTCTGTTAAATATCAGTTTTATGAAATCATACAGATACAGAGAGGTCATAAAAATACTACCTTTATGCATGGACCTCTAGCTACCAATATTCCAGACACTTCAAAGAACAATTTTATTTCATTATTCTGGGTATTTTTCAGTTATTTTATTTCTGAGGCATGCAATCGAAATTGTGATAATTTTTAAAAAGTTTTCTGGTAACGGTTACAAATTTAACTTTTTTGTTATATCGCAGCACTTACTTTTACTCATACAAGCATAATTCTCTCAATAAAATGCTTAAAATATTTTTTTTCTTCGAATGGCAGGCACTGAACTTTATTCGTTTCGCCTTAGAAGATGCCATAGGTGTTACTCATTTCGCGTTACCCAGTGGGCACCTGTGAACCAAAGTCACGGAGGCGAGTAACATTGCCCACGCCACACTGCCACAAACCCGTTCATAGGGTGGGCCACATTCACTCATCACACGCAACAGAGAACAACACAAGAGAGAAACATCCATGCTCAGAGCGGGATTCAAGCCCGCTGCCATGGGCTTCGCAGTCAGGAAGACTAACCGCTCGGCCAACTGGCCGGCACTTAAAATATAGTTTTAATTCAACTAGTGTCAAAAAGGGCTACGCTGAGGAAAAGAAAGAAGTATGTAAGAAACGAATGACTGTGGTCCCTTCCCGTTATAGGTTAGAGTGCGCTTTGTAGAAGTGAATAAAAAACAGGTCCAAAAAATATTTCACTCATCTCTGCTTAGAATCGCCATTTTGCTTTGTGGTTGGTGAGTATTCTGCAATAATGTAGTGGCAGCTCGCAAATTATTTTTGTAGCTGTAACATGTGCATTTACTGCCCTTCAGATTATTATTATTTTTTTTTATGTATACTGCTTGTTGTACAGAAGAACCCCGGTTTTACGGTGTCCGTTTTGTACGTTATTTCGCTTTCTACGTCCTTTTCTGCTAGTTCTTGAAAATTACTTATACTCATGATTTATATTTACCAGGATTTTACGTTACCCTTTATCAGAAAATCCCGTACGTTTTTCTAAGCGATCAAAATCATTTTTTTTTCTTCAAAGCTTGCATAATGCTTTTTCTGAAGTTTATTTATCTTCTACTTCGTCTTCTTTTTTTTAAAAAAATGAAACAGACTTGTTTATTAGCTGCTTCTCTGACACTCTTTCTATTTTATCTTCTAGTCCTCCGTCTGGGAAAAGGCTTTCTCGGTGGGTATGGTTGCTTTCCCCGATATTCAAAATCAGAACGATGGTGGGATGGATCAAACGCGAGAAGAGTGTTTAAAGGAAGTATTGGAGTGTAAATTGTAAAATTTGGGAGTGGAATTTTTTTCCATTAAATTTCAATCTTTTTAATCTTCGAATTATCCAAATATGTAAAGAACGTTACAGCAAACAATTGGTTTGGTAATTGTTTCTTTTTCGTGATTCCAGTGATCTACAAGACGCTTCTAAAGCAAAAATAAATGTTCTGGAAGCTCTGAATTTGATTTCTATTGCATTGGGTAGTGTCACCTAAAATGTATTACAAATGTGCATAATAAAGCTTCTCGGGGTTAACTGCTTCTCGGTATCCAAGAGGGAACATTGGCGCTTTGGTAAAAAATTGCATGTCAGAAGATCTTCTTAAGTTGATGACGCGCATATCGACTGCAACCATACCCACCGAGAAATAAGGCCGTTGAGATCACCAAGGTCTTTAAGTGACGTCACATACAGTGGTGCATAGCTGACAAGCGACAAGCCGCCAGTTTCAGATGTTTGTCATTCATTGAACAATAAACACTGAACATTGAAATTTCATAAATATTTATACTTAAAAACAAAAAAACTCCGCGGCAATAAATGATATTAATAAAAAGGAATTCAATTAATTGTTTGCCATCCATTTGAATTTTTGGACGTTATAATTTTAGATGAATATTAATGATACTGTTGTTCATGCTTTATATGGTATGAATCTTTCTAATTTAGATAAATTGTTTTTGCGTATCTTATGATGATGTCTTAAATATTTTTTTACTACCTTATAATTGGTTATTAGATTTTGTAATTTATTTTAATGCGTTACATTAACCAAATATTATCAAAAGTGCTGAAACAAATAAATATATAAAATTTTTGATTTCTATTGTTAATTAGAAAATATTAAGAAGAATATTAGAAAAAATTAATTAATATTCAATGTAGTTCGTTCATATTAATAAATTTCCTCAATGTTATATTTCTATAAAATTATCTAATCAATATTTCCTAATTCCTAATTAATTCCTAATTTCCTAAAATTATCTAATCAATATTCCATTTTTAAAAAAGTAAATAAATAAATTTAGATTTTTGCAATCTTACAATAAAGTCTCAAATTAGAAGTGCTGTAGCCGACCTGGTTGCCGAGTGGTTAGCGTGCCTGTCTGCGGAGTCGCTGGTCGCGGGTTCGAATCCTGCTCAGGGCATGGATGCTTCCTTCTCTCTGTGTTCTATGTCCTTTCTCCTTTTCGAGTAATTGTGTGAATGTGACACGCCCTATAAACAGGTTTGTGGTTGTGGGACGTGGGCGACGCTGCTCCACCGCCGTGGCTTCGCGACAGGTGCCCACTGAGTAACGAGAAGAGAGTAGCAGTTCTGGCATTTCTGTGGCCAATGGGACTACCCCCAAATTCCCACCATTAGAAGAAAAAAAATGTGCTGTTCTTATTTTATTCCCATTTTTAAGTTTATTTTATAAGTCTGGAAGAGTTTATCTAAACAAGCTTTAAAACAATAGCTTATACATATGTACACATTATTCATTCAAATGTATCTTACATAAAATGTATCAACTACTGAGGTGTATCTTATTGAGTAAAGGGAAAAATGATTTTATTAAATGCTTTTATATTTTTTTCCATCTTAATTTTTTTTAAATTATGCTTTAAAGAAAATTGTAGACAACTTCAAATACAGTTCATAAAAAATATTCAATATTTTCTTGTCTTTTACCGTGCGTAATTCTTTTAATTATTGAACAATTTTTGCTCAGAATATTATACTAATAATTTTCTAGAGAAATTTCTATTTGTGATATTTCCTTAACAAATTTTGTGAGAAACATTGTCATCAATAAATTTATATGTTAGAAAAAGCTGATGAAAATACTTTACTTTTTATAATAGTTAACAAAAAATGAAAGAAGCTATGCTTATTTTTGAAAATAATAATTACTATTTTAAAGTTTTACAATCTTAATGATCGAAATACTTTTCTAAACTATTTATAATTTATTTACTATCATTACTTTATAATTACTATTATTTAAGTACTTAGCTAAATAATTTTGTTCTATTTTTATATTATATGCATTGTTTATTTATAAATAATTGCAGTGTTTATGTTTATAATATTTCCATTTGGAATTTAATTGTATATCATGTGATTCTGAAAGAAATCTTTAGAACCTATTTTAAAGTAACATTTTTATAAATCTGCCAATAAAATTATAATTTCTTTATTTGCCTCTTTTCTGCCATGATATAACATATTTTTATTTGTCTCGCATTCGTTTCCATATTAAAATATATCATTTCTAATTTTGAAACATATGATTAAATCCAACATTTGATTACATATTAGAAAATAATAAATAATACACTTAAATGAGGTTCATTCTTTTGATATTAGAAATATTTATGAATCATGATGTAAAATTAAAAGAAAAAATTTCTTATTAAATCTTTTTCTATTATGAAATACATATAATATTACTTCATGAAAAGCACCAAACAGTCCTTCATGTTCATTTTATTGAGCTATAACGTGATAAATACCATTGATTTATTCTAATAAAAAACTAAAAATTCACCACTTAAAAATACTTAATTGCTATTTAATTAGCTAAAGCAAAAATAGTTTACGTCCATCAAAAATTTAAGCTATTTACTATAGTTTTCTCTTAATACAAATCTGAATACCACGTTCACTTATGGTTTGCTAACACTTCCGAGGATGACGTCACAAACCTACTGAGAGATCTTGACTCTCGGTGGCTATGCTGCAACACACATCCTATTATTTTTCAATTCCGTCAATATCTGATTTAATGTTTGCTCCCGTTAATAGTGATAAAAACGATGAAGACGAGCAAAAAATATCGGAGGATATACCCACAACTGATCAAGAGATTGAAAGCAAGTAAACTTTGACACATTTTCGAATATATACCATAACGTAAATTTGCAAAAAATTGTTGTTGACATATGCCTGTTTTAGGCAGAGGGGGTGCGATTGTTCTTGTTTTCCAGTGGCGCCATCTATGGCCAAGAATTCGATTTCTGCCACACCAGATGTCACACCCACTTATAGGGCGGACCCATTCATACATCCATTCATTCATCTACAGATCGTAATTTTGACCAGAATCAGAGAACGATCGAACAATCCAGTATCCCCAGAGGTATTGATTTGTTATGGGAATATGGAGGACTTTTGCGACTCGACAGATTTAACGTGCATCTGTCACTTAACTACACGGGAAGTCTTAAGGGTGGATGAGGTGTTAGATCCTTGTCAATAAAGGTGTTCATGCGTATTGCAAATCTTTTTGTAAAAAATCCTTTGTTCTTCTTTCATTTTGTTCTCCTTAAGTCCACTTCAAAATTTACTTTCGTGAACCAAAAAAAAAGTAATCCACAGTGTAAAATAACATTTCCTTTACTTATCATGAAAAATGTGAAGGAGACAACTATCTTGGAAAATTGGACTTGTAGATTGATACTATCATATTGGTACTACATACAACAGCAAAGAAAAAACTTTTTGCTTTATATTCGATGCACCTATTTGTATTATCGGTAGCAGGAGACCTGAGTAAATCAGAACCTGTCATTGTTCTATTTATTTTTGAACTATAACCGATAACCTATTTGTACTGATTTTTTTATACAAAATTTATGTTATTTTTATTTCAAGAATAATAATATAAAGTTTGAGAATTTAAAAATTATGAACAAAAAGAAATGTAAACAATTAATTATTGCCATTAATATCCAAGTCAAAATTCATGCGAGTAGCAGCAACAAAAAATGCTAGTTTCTGCAACGTATTGCTTAGTCTGCTGGATTTTTATGCTATAATAAGCTTCATAATGCTAACTAGCATCAAGTGCTATACAGCTAGCTTAAATAGCAATTACATGATAAGTTGTATACAAGCATCTCATGCTTATTTGTTGATTAAGCTTCGTCCAAAGCATGGAAAGGTAGACATCTGAAGGAGCTATAATGTGCTTTTTTATGCTTGCTTGCCAGCTTAATCTGCTATGTAGGCAGCTACGGCAGAAATGACATGACATGCTAAACAAGCCTTACAACTAAAATGCCGTTCGGATGAATAAGAGTAAACTATGAGTTTATCTTATCTTACTATGATAGCTATTATCTCTTAAACTATGAGTTTATTTAAAAATATTTACTTATTTTTTCTAGTGGTTTCGTTTACTTTCTATTTTTTTTAAAAAATATTTCGTAAAAAGCTGTTTCCATGACAGTTATCGTATTTATCTATAACAATGGTTTTCATCAATGAAATTTCATATTTTCGATAGTGAGCTTTATTAAAAATGTTCTGTACAACATAAGCTAATATTTTATACAAAACCAATAAGCTGATTAGCACAATGGTACTTTTGGAGGACAATTTAATAATTCACAACTTTAATTAATTCATATTGTGCACTTAATCACTGATTTAATTAGCTTTGTATTGGATATCAAAACATCATTTATTAAGAGTTTATCATTTTTTAAGAGTTTTTTTTTCTACCAAAAAAAATGAACTTAAACTGATAAAAATTTATTTAAGGTAAAGGAATACGCAGACCTAATACAGCACATAAAATATTTTAGAGCAAAAAAATATATTTAAAAAAAAAAAGAATTTATCATAACGGCTTTGGAAGAACTGAGAGACTGAGTAGATGAAGTAAATGTATATTTACGTTAAAAATATAAAATCAGTCTACACAGTCATTTGACATGTTTAATTATGATGTAAAAACGCATGCAAATAGCCTTTTTATGGGAATAAACATTTTATGTTTTGATAATGAGATGAACTAAATAAAGCTTACTGTTACATAGCTATTTTTAACCTCCTGTGGAGCATTCCTCACAGTACATCGAACATTCCAATTTTCATATAAGTGACAAAACATCTGAAAAAAAGTTTACATATAATGAATACATTATATAAATGGTGTTCTCAAATTCTACTCTAACTGTTTAGTTTCTTAAGAACATTTTAATGATGAGATGAGTTAAAATTGCTCACGTAAAATGAACCGGAAATTCTCGGGAGTGTTCCTTTAGTACTAAGAAAAACATTTTATATTCGTAAACAGTAATAATTACTCACTAATAGTCGCAACAATAAATACCTTTAGCATTTACTAGCTGATAAGGTAAAAGAAATCGTACATTTACAAATAAATGCTCTTAAATAACTCTACATAATAACTTATATTAATTAGCATTATAGAATCATTCACAAAACGTTATTGATTAACATAATAGTATCATTCACAAAGCGATATTGATTAACATTAAAGAATCATTCACAAAAATATATTAATTAACATTGTAGAATCATTCACAAATCAGAAAAGTATAAATGGTTACAATTTAAAACAATTTCGTGGTCCTTCCCGGTGACTTTACATTGTTAGATTCAGCGAAATACATTTTTAGAACTTCATCTCATCAAAATAACTACACTCAATATTGGCACCAAAAATGATGAAAAAAAATCGCAGACATTTTTTGACAGTCAAAACTTATCAGAATTGAGAAATCCAGGTTCAATATATAATTTTTTTTTATTTCAATTTTAATTCAGATTAAAATAATTAATAACAAATTATTTTTTTATAATTATTGTTAATTTTTTTATTAAACGTTTATAGGAAACATACCATATTAAGTTTTTAACTGAGACTAAATTTGCCCACTGTCGGTAAGTCCAGTGCGCTAACGGTTGTGTTGTTACTGAAGAGAAACGACACGCAAACAGCTTTTTTTAAAAGCATACATTTTTCATTCTAATTTGAAATCACTGAACTTTTAGAATTCAACTAATAAAACTAAGTTCTCCTTTTTTTTAATAAATTGATCCAAAATGGATTCGTTATATCAGGTTTTAGTCTTATTTCACCGCTGTTTACTTTAAACACTGGAAAAACATTCTTCGACTGTTTAAATATTTTTATGTGAATAGAGTTATCTCAAGTTCCTTCTATCCTATTATATAAAACACTAATGCGAATATAAGAAACGATGAAATTTCTTTTTCGAGTTGGAAACAACGAACTGAAAATTGAAATATAAAATTATATTCGGGTCTTTTACAAGAGAAATGTAAGCCTAATTCTGTTTCGGGTGGCCATTAAAAAAACTGCCGAACTGTTAATGACTCCATTGATAATTTATAAAATATGGCATTTACTCTATACATACGCAGTAACTATTATACTACGAGGGTTGCTATTTATATTTCTGGCCTTGGCAAGAGTAAGTGTTGCTAGGCGACCGCTGACAATTTTAATCGAAAGTTTGATATTTTTAAATATAAATTCAGCAGACGATTTACCATTATAGCTTCATTTGTGTTGTTGACAGTAAATTGAAAAGTTCTTCTCTTTCAAAAAATGGAATTGAATCGTGAACATTTTCGTGCCATTATTTTTCATAACTTTCGACGTGGATTGTCAAGACAAGAGTGCTTCGATGAACTTAATTCTTTATTCA